GAGCACAATTTGCCACCCACAATTTGGCACATTGTAATTAGAGGTAGGACTTTACATACAGGAAGGTGATCACATTGACTTCGATCCATACTAAAGAGCAAATGACTGATACGCACTCACCTTCCCAAAGCAGGGTTGCTCTCACAGAGATAATGGGTGCCTACAGGGAGAGAACACAATGGAAGGGAAATTGCAATTTACAAGAAGGTGAATTTTATTCTCATGCTTTTTCTAAAAAGCATGTGTGTGTGTGTGTGTGTTTTTCTTTTGTTTTGCTCAACTACGGAAAGTAAGGAGCAAACACTCTGACCTTTTACTCCTAAGTATTTATTTCAGTGTGTATTTCCTAAGAACAAGGACACTCTTCTACATAATCCCAATGCCATTATCATACCTAATGAAATTAACAATAATTCCTTAATGCCATCTAATAGGCAACTATAATCAAATTTCCCCCATTGTCCCAGAAAATGTCTTTTATAGCTTTTTAAAAAAATCTAGGATCAAATCAAAGCATATGCATTGCATTTGGTTGTTATATCTCTCTTTTTTCCCCAGTAACATTGGATAAGTTTAAGGTATACAACATGATGATTAGATATAAGTATATATTGGCAAAAGGATTGCTTGTTATATTTTTTAAATCTTTTTAAGATAAAACAATAGCTCCCTCGAATTCTTCTAAAATAATGATGTTGACTGCCCTGGCCTGGTGGCTCAATTGGTGGGAGCATCGTCCCGTAGCCTAGGTTGTGGGTTCCATCCCCGGTCAGGATGCCTATGGGAGGCAACCGGTTGATGTTTCTCTCTCATATCTCTCTCTCTCTCTCTCTCTCTCTCTTCTCTCTCTCTCTCCCTCTCTCTCTCTCTCTCTCTCTCTCTCTCTCTCTCTCTCTTATCCTCAGGTGATGTTTAAATTTTTTAAAATGATATTGACTTGCTTTGATGAATACAAGTGAGTTATTTTGTAGAACAAGTGAGTTATTTTGTAGAATGTGCCAGGATTGGATTTGTCTGTTTCCTCATTAGTTAAATTAAAGTTTAAAAAATTGGGGAGTGGATAAAAAAAGATGTGGTACATTTACACAATGGAATACTACTCTACCATAAAAAAAGAAGAAAATTTTACCCTTTGTGACAACATGGATAGACCTGGAGAACATTATGCTAAGTGAAATAAGCCAGTCAGAGAAAGACAAGTACCATGTGATTTCACTCATATGTGGAATTTAATGAACAAACTGAACTACCAAACAAAATAGAGACAGACTCATAGAGAGCAGGCAGACAGCTCTGTTGCGGGGCAGGGGGAGTGGGGTGTTGAGGTGTGTGGAGAGTGATAGCGGGAGGGAGAGGAAAGGGGGGAGGTAGAAGAGGGCATAGAGAAGATAAATGGTGATGGAAAAATAAATTAAATTTAAAAATAAATAAAATAAAAATTTTAAAGTTGGGAGCAAGAATACTGTATAAGCAATGTTATGTTCCTATTGCATTGCATCAGGAGGTACAAGATCTTAGATTGTCCCACTATTGATGATGCTCAATTTGATCAGGGCCATTTTATGAATTTCATGGGTCATTGGCACTTTACCTTTATGAGAACCTTTCTTCATAAAAATATTAAGAATTATATTTTATAATTGTATTGGCATAGGGATTAATATAATTCATTTTTCTCCTTATTTTTTAAAATATATTTTTATTTATTTCAGAGAGGAAAGGAGAGGGAGAGAGAGGTAGAAACATCAATGATGAGAGAGAATCATTGATCAATTGCCTCCTGCACACCCCCTTCTGGGGATTGAGCCCGCAACTTGAAGATGTGCCCTTGACCAGAATTGAACCTGGGACCTTTTAGTCTGCAGGCTGATGCTCTATCCACTGAGCAAAACCAGCTAGTGCTCTTCTGGTTTTAAAAGAAATTAAAACATTTTCCTGAGCTCCTAAAGATGTCATGGGCCCCAGACTTTAAGCCTACTCTGGCTAATGGAGAAGTTCACCCTGGGTTTGACCATTTGATTAAAAGAGATGACCTCCAGATTTCCCCATCATAAAGGTACATTTTCCCCTTTGCAATTAGATAGTAATCTACAGGGAGACTCTGAGATTATGTGAATATTGTGTTCCCTAAAATCTCTCCCTTGCTGGTTTCATGATTTTTGCCTGAATCAGTTATTAATTATACTGAAGAAGGTTCAGGGATAAAAATATTGAGGTGCAAAGAGTATGTGATTTGTTCAAGGCCATAAAGCTAGTTGGTAGCATCACCATTAAGAATCAGATCTGTGTGGTCCCAAGTTCATATTAGATCCCATAGGAAACTGGAGTATTTTAAAAAAGAGTAACACAATAAACAACATTGGAGTTATTTGATCTGGAGTGAAGAACAGAAAAGAATGACTGTAATATGTTACATGCTTAAAGATAATGATTGCATGGGTACCCAGGATCAGTAAGTTCTCCATTTGGAGAGTAATGGCACAAAGGGAGATAAGATTACATTGCTCTAGCCGGGCCGGCATGGCTCAGTGGTTGTGTCGACCTATGAACTAGGAGGTCGCTCTTCGATTCCCGGTCAGGGCACACGCCTTGGTTGTGGGCTCAATCCCTAATGTGGGGCATATAGGAGGCAGCTGATCAGTGATTTTCTCTCATCGTTGATGTTTCTATCTCTCTCTCTCTCCCTCTCCCTTCCTCTCCAAAACCAATAAAAATATATATTTTAAAAAAGATTCCATTGCTCTGCATTATAGTCATTTTATAAGCCAGCTAATAATTGCTTCACATTTCTTCAGAAACATTATTGGTGTTATCCTCAGGAGAAAATAAAGCCAATGTTTAATAGTTTCATCAATTGTTATATTATTATTAGGTATTAAAATTCTAATTTAAATGTTGACAATTTGTCATTTACCCTAGAGATTCACTTAGTTCATTTGGTTTTCTCTCCACCTCAGTCTTCTCTAGGTAGTGTGCATTAGAATTGTAATGGACATTTAAAAAGGATTGTTGTTCTACAATTCCTACGGACTTCAGAAGGTGATTATGGACAAATAAGGGCTGAAATACTGGATCCTTAAAAATAGACAAACTGCCCATATTTGAATAAAAGACAAACCTTTCTGTGGACAAAGGTTTCCTTCCAACTGTGGGTGTGGGAGCCAGCTACTGCTACTTGCCAAGAATAGCTTTCACACATTAATCTTGTTGCAAAGAACATTTTTGACCTTTTCAATGTTTGCATTTAAAAAATGAAGCACAGATGTTTTCAAAAGTGGGAAACAATTGTCATGAGCCCCAAATTATCACAGGAGTGAATTTGTCACTCTATGGAAGAATGATGCTTTCTAAATATGTAAAAGTGGATCTGTTCTCTCTCATTTGTGAGGAGTTGAAACAGGAGATGCATCTGCAAGTCACATATTATTGATCAATTAGTAAGTATTTGCTGAACCTCTACTTTGAAATAAGTGGTATGCAGGACAAGGGACCTGGAGTATTTTTAGAATTATAGACAGAAGAGAAGAGGAGAAAATATAAGTTTCTGACTTCAGGAAAGTTATGAGAAAGTCAAGTAAAAAAAGTCAAGTAGATCCATGGAAATCTAGAAAACAATTCAAGATAGTGCATAGTAAGCATAAAATGAGAAGAGTCAATAATCCTGTCATAAAATTAAACAGGTTAGGAGAAAGAACAGGAATGATTGAAGTGCAGATTGGCCGGCAAAAGCTTTATCAAGTTGATACTTAGAAGCTGGAATTTGGAAGGGTAGAATTCAGATGAATGGAAACTCTGGGATTGGGCATGAAGAAAGGAGGGAGACAGGAAAGGAATGGAGAATTTAGAAACAGGACATAGACTGGTTAAAAGAAATTAAACCAAGACCCACTTCAGCTTTCAAGCTATAGTCATGTTCTTCTCAGACAGTTCCTACCCAGTGACTGAACCAGAGAGTAACTGATGTCACACTCTTTTTGGGTGGCCAAAAGAGTGTGACCTCAGCTAAGCAAGGTGGTGATACAAAGGGCCTGGCGATTCTATCTAAGATAGGACTCCTTCATTGGACAATCTTTGCTCCTGAGCTTCCCACTGAACTGGTGTTGGGTAACCAACAGTTTCAATTTACTGGGACTCAGATTTTCCAGGATGTAGGACTTTCAATGCTAAAACTGGGAAATTTTCAGGCAAGCTAAGATGGTTAGTCACCTTGACTGGTATAGACCTTGTCAGGTCTGTATCAGAGTCTGACAGCTCCCTCTGCCCAATCCTGTTTCCTTCCCTTTTTCCTTTCACAGGTATTACTCCCCAATAAACTCTTTGTCCTCCTGACTTCATCCTAGTGTCTGCTTCAAAGACACTTGATCTAAGACAGGGACACATGTGGCACAGGAACCAGGAAGGACTAAATACTACAAGAGAAGATGAGGCTGAAAGTAGGAGGGCTGGGGAAAGATTACTTTTATAATTATAGGGATGCTCCTGTGTATAATGTTTTCAGCAGACTATTCATTCTATATACTTTGAAAAATATATATATATGTAAATAATCAATGACTTAAGGTTCCCTACACTGCATTTGAATACTCAAAATGAAGGCTTTGTTTAAAAAAAAGTGAACCTTCTTGTCCCTGTGTCCTTTAAACATGCTTTGTTATTAATTCCTATAATTTAAGAAGAAAAATGAAAGAAGCTTTATCTTTCCTTAGAATTAATCTTAAAATCAAGAGAGAATGTGGGCAGAACATTACTGCTAGAGAAAGAGGAAGGCATCTTTCAGGGCCTGGACTAGAATAAGGTGAGTGAGGTACTTGGGGTGCAACATTAAAGTAGCCACTCACTGTCAGGGTTGTATACTGAGTGGGCACTTGCATGAACCTGAGAGTAAGCACCTCCTTAGATATTGCACCCAAGTGCCTCATTTGCCTCACCCTAGTCCTGGCCCTAGTATCCATAATAATATTGTGCAACTTACACAGAACATTTCCTCTTTCCTGCCCCAGGTACAAAGCCATTGTCCGGCCAATGGATATCCAGGCCTCTCATGCCCTGATGAAGATCTGCCTCAAAGCCGCATTGATCTGGATCATCTCCATGCTTCTGGCCATTCCAGAAGCTGTGTTTTCTGATCTACATCCTTTCCACGAGGAAAGCACCAATCAGACCTTCATCAGCTGTGCCCCATACCCACACTCTAATGAGCTGCATCCCAAAATCCACTCCATGGCTTCCTTTCTGATCTTCTACATCATCCCACTGTCGATTATTTCTGTCTACTACTACTTCATTGCCAAAAATCTGATCCAGAGTGCTTACAATTTGCCTGTGGAAGGGAATATACATGTCAAGAAGCAGGTAGGTGCTTAGGATTGATTAATTTCCTCCTTGGAGGTTTGATCCCTTGCATTTCTTTTGGACTCCACTGACAAGTACAGTATTGTCATGGTCATGTCACCTGATTCTGCCATTAGAGAAGATGGGTGATCAAGTTTCCAGATGGTAAATGGAAACTCCTAGCCACAGAAGCCCCAGGAATTCAGGTGCCCTTTATAATCTTGTTGTCTTATTAAAGACCTAAGCTAGGGAAGTGTTGAAAACCCGCAGGATTTGGAGTATGGGTTTCTTTTTGAGAAATATCTGAAAAAGTGCTGTTTTATCGTTTAAAAAAATAAAATATTGAGGCTCACAAGAATGTGACTTATTTAAATTCCAATCACATTGTTTGGATAGGAAGAAGATTTCTATGTGGGGGAAAAGCAGAGGGGGCAGGAAGATGAGGCTTGTTGAAGAAAAAGAAGTAGTTTGATTAAGACAGGCTTACACTGATTTAGGTTCAAATCCAGGTTTTATGACTTATCTGAGCTTCAATTCCTTTATGCATGGCATAGGGTAATAACCCCTATATTGTAAGGCTGTTGGAGGATTGCAAAAGAGAGCATATGTACACCTTAGACTGCCCAGAATTCAGGATGCCCTCTATATATGTTAGACTCCCTTGCCCATCCATGTAAACCCCTATAATTTCATCCTTGAGGTAAGAATTGTAGAAACCAGGGGCTCTCACTTTCTCCTCTTTGTCAGTTCTTGCCTCCCACTCCAAATGTAGATTATGTATTAATGATGGAGAAACATAAAGATGCCCCATTCATTTCAATGTACAGCTGACTCAGTTGGAGGTTTCACCCTTTATAGTTTCTTTCTGGGGGAGGGGGAGGCCTTAATTTTAAGAGGAGGGGGACAGTTCTTAGTGAAACTGTCTCCCTACTTGAAAGACCTCTCAATAGTGAACGTATATTGTATCCCAAATTCTTTAATGAGAAAGATGCTTCCCCTTGCCATAGCAGAGGAGTAGGGAGCCAAAGGAGATGCTCAGCCCATTTTACCTAAGACCCTTTCTGTATAGTATAGTTCAGAAATGAAATAATAATAATAATAATAATAATAATAATAATAATATAGCTAATTATCTTGGTTTGGCCATTGAGGAAGAACAAAGCTAATTGCTTCTTTGAGCATCAGAGGAATTAGAGGTTTTAACTGTGGAGAAAGACATGAAGTCATATGACTGATAAACTGTACCAACGCCCTCCTGAGAAAAAGCAGAGCATTTACTAGAATTTCAGTATGCAGTCCATTCAAGCATACAATCAACTTTGGTTAAAAATCTGTTCTTAGTGGCATGGTCTAACTGTATTCTACTTCATGGATTTCTGCTTCCTGGAATTTCCATTTCTGTGTTTCTGACTTTTTTTTTTCTTTTTCTGTCTGTTTCTGTTGCTTTTCTCTCATTTATCTGATTCTCTCTTGTCCCCTTTCTCCTATTAAACTCTTTTTCTATGGTTTTATGAGCTTGTCTCTTTCCCTAATTCTTTTTCCCTGTCTTTTTTTTTCTCTGAATCTTTGTTTCTCTGAAATCCTCCCACACTGTTCCTTGGTCCCTCTGTCCTCTCTGTGTGTGTGACTCTCTCCTCAGATTGAATCCCGGAAGCGCCTTGCCAAGACAGTGCTAGTGTTTGTGGGCCTCTTTGCCTTCTGCTGGCTCCCCAACCATGTCATCTACCTGTACCGCTCCTACCACTACTCCAAGGTGGACACCTCCATGCTTCACTTTGTCACCAGTATCTGCGCCCGCCTCCTGGCCTTCACCAACTCCTGTGTCAACCCTTTTGCCCTCTACCTGCTGAGCAAGAGTTTTAGGAAGCAGTTCAACACCCAGCTCCTCTGTTGCCAGCCTGGCCTATTAACCCGGTCTCACAGCACCGGCAGAAGTACCACCTGCATGACTTCCCTCAAGAGTACCAACCCCTCTGCAGCCACCTTCAGTCTTATCAATGGAAACATCTGTCATGAGGGGTATGTCTAGACTGACCATTGACCCTGCCCGGCTGGGGCCCCTTGGTTTTGCTCTATGGCTGGTAAAGAACCCTCACATCTGTTGTTATCTCTGTACCCTCTAAAGACCCTTTGTAAGGCTGAGGAGTGATACAGGCAGGTTGGGGAGAGGCCTAAATGGATCTCTGTTATATTTGAAAGGCCCATCAAGGTGTACCTTTTCCATTTTAATTTGTGAATACTTCCTCTGATGTAGAGAAAACTTTACTTTTTTAAGAAAAGATACCAAATAGAAAATTATTATTTTAAGCATCAAACCCTGATATGCAGGTGTGGCCAATTAAGTCATAGAAACTATATGAAGAACCAAATTTATATAGCAGAGAAATTATACATTGAATGTCCACTCCATGGAAGACTTCACTTTGTCATTTCTTTAAGCAGGAGCTAGTGCTTTGAAACTATGATTTGAGTCATATTTCAGGAATATTTATAATCACAAAGCAAGAAAAAAAATTTTGAAACTAATATGAAAAGTTGGCCCTATGAAAGAGTTCCATATATGAAGGACAATCCCCAAATTGATAACACTAGAAACCGGTTCGAGACAAATCTAAGTGTTGGACATCACTGAGGACATAGGAGAAATACTTAAGGCAAAAACACAACCAAACACATAGACACATATGTAAAGATCCATGTGTGACTGTGGAGTAATATCTCACATTCCGAATTCTAAGTTGATGGAAGTTCTTTTTGTGGTTGCCCAATTATAATCAGTTCCACTATAGAAGAGAAATCCTTTTGGGGTGGGAGGAATTGATCATGCTATCAATTCACCAAACATTATAAGTGCATAAACTATAGTGTTTATTTTTGGTATATAGGATTTTCAGTCAAATGTACTTACCTAGATTATATCGAAGCAGTAGCTTCATAGGAGAAAAAAGGATCATATCTGAGTGAAAGTAGAAACATGTTTACATTTAACAAGTGATTCACCTGTAGTCTGCGGGAAGAAATTAATACAAGTTCAGTAATATTTATTTCTACCTGAATATGTGCAACAAAGTTACAGAGGACTTCTCTTTAAGAACTGATTAAAAACAGCTACATTAGATATATTGTTTCTACTTAAGAGTATTCACAAAACAGCCCATGTGCATTAAAATAGTGGCTTTAAATATTTCTCTTTTTCTAAGTGAGTAAAATGATTTGACCATCTTACTCTAGAAACCTGAATCAAGTTTTTTTGTTTTTGTTTTTTTTTTGTTTTGCTTTGTTGTTTTTATTCAAGGACAGGCCATTTTGACAGATTGCAAACATGCTAATGATAAATCCAAATTCTGCAAATGTGCCCTAATGTATATCCCTTGCATCCCAAAATCATTTTAGTTCTAGTTTTCTCCATCCAGGTGAGATAGAACAATCAGCTCTCTTTTGCACATGACACATATTAAAAGATTTTTGTCTCTTGATACAAGGAAGCCCTCACTGTCTGCGGATCTTTAGAAGTTAGAACCAAGACAGTTGCAAAGATGTGTGTTTACAGTTATATTAGCTGGAGTAAAACTGCTTCACTTCTGTTTGCTGCATGAACTTTTATACTGGACATGCCTGCTTTTCTGGTAGTCCACAATTACATTGAACAATTTCAAAATCAAGACAGGTAGTGTAGCTGAAAGAACCAAGATTTTTAGCTTGACATTCCAATTTTGTCTCTAGCTAAATGACCTTAGCTATCAATATCCCTTCTCTAGACTCATTTTTTCATCCCTAGAATGAGAGGACAGTGTTAAGTTCCCTTCTATCGCTAAAAGCCTCTGAGTCTCATCATTATTTCTAGTTCTGTGTCTAAAGCATTTATGGAACCCACATGCTCACAGTTTCCCCACTTCTGCTACCCTTGCAACAACTTCTCTTGGCAAATCCTTGAACTGCCACTCCACATTCATGTTCACGTTCATGAAATGAAAGGAGACTCACTGTTTTATAACTTTCTGGGACTCCTTGGAATGATTTGTATGAATGATGTCCCATTAGCTTGTTATGTTTTAGAATTAGAGCTGAATGAGACATAAGAAAACAAATTGCTCAATCTCCTCATTATTCAAAGGGTACTCTTCCTATTCACCCTTCAATCTCCATGTGCCTGCTATCTTGAACCACTGCTCTACAATTTTACCCTTGGCTTTCTTCAAAACTCTTGAGTGTAAGTGACTTCATTCCTAGGTAGTTGTTAAGGAGGTATATGTAGCATTCTGGGTACCTGGTATAACTTGTTCAAGCATCTTTGATCTACCTGCTTCCAAAGACATTTTGGAAGTAATACTTACCTTAATGTCTCCCTTAGTTACTTACTCTCATGGCATGGATTGTGTCTGGTCTCCTCCCCAGCTTTTGGCCAAACAGTGCGGAGAATGAAGTCTACGTTTAGCTGTGTGTCTTTAGGCAATCCTATAACCTCTTTGAGACTTAAAGGGTTGGAGGGGGCCTTTGCCAGCCAGTGACCTAAGACTGGTAAAACTATTGTATGAATCAACTGCTGGATTGACTCAAAGCTAATTGGGGTGGACTTAATCAGACTCTTCTCTAGGGAAGTCAAATTTTTATTTCACCTCAAGAACTTAAATTAACAGTGAGATAGACCCACACTCTCATGTAATATCACCTCTCTTCTAGGGTGGAGTGTGGCAGAGGCTTGGAACTAAGACATTTCACGCCTGGCTTCCAAAGATAATCACATTTAGCGCTTATGTCGTTGGCAAGGAAAAAAATCAATTTTTTTCTGTGGAAAACCATCTGTGTTTATTCAATTGACAGACACTACCTTTCAATCTATCTTAAATTGAGCCTCCCTAAGGCAGGCAGCTCAATAGTGATAGATTAAGCAATAAACAAAGCAGTCTTCCCACCAATGGCTGCTGCTGGCAAGGAAGGTACAGCGGCTGGCAGGAGTGATATTCCTCAGCAAGATGATCCTCCCAGCTTGGTGAAGACAAGGCTCCTCCCTGTTGTTGATTTGATGATTCCCCACAAATGGGGATGACTAAACCCTGTTGTTCTGGCTGTGCTCACTCCCCCACTGAACCTGGCCTTCTGCCTCATTAACAAGTCCTGGATTTCCCGCTTTGCCCTGTAAACAATTTGGTGTTATCTTGAAGAATGGAGAACACGGAGGTAAATAAACAATTTAGAGGCTGCTCACATGAGCCAAGCTCAGCTTGTTATGAAAGTGCACATTGAACAAAAATAAATGAACTTGTCCATAGTGCACGGGCACACTGCTTAAGTTTTTTGTTTATGCCAAAAGTAGCAGTCAGTTATTGGTTTCAAAGTCGATTCATGCACCAAATGGCTTCCGTAATAGAGATTAGCTTTGTTTGGGGACTACAAGTTGAATGACATCCTCAATCTGTGGATTAAAACATGGCTAAGTCACCTTTCCCAGAAGTTAGATAGAGATGATCGCCCTAAGAACCTGACTATATGAGAGTAGAATGAATAGTATGCACTTGTGTTGTGATGAGTTGGGAGGGATGCAAACTTTCTTGTCATTTGGGCCCTTCACATCCATACCAGGAGTTAGCCACGGTAGCTTAGAATTAACCCTGGGTTCCTGGGAGGAATGGAACAGATTTTGCACATTTGTCTAATTTTTGGCTCAATGGATTAACAGCTGACAATGGAATTATTTACTCTCCTGGGACCAAGCTTTGTATGAGCTATTCAATGAAACCAAGCCCCAAGAAGCTCTACTTTATTTTGTATCTGATGGTCCTTCCTCTCAACCCTCACCTGGATGTGTATTCCTCTGGGTATATTCCAGTTGAACATATCTAGAGCAATGAACATATAGCACACCAGGAACAGACTTTTTTCTCTTGTGAAACTTCATGTTAAAAATGCAGTTGCTGAAATTTATCTAAATTTTTAAGAAGTTTATCAACCCCGAGTTAAAATATTATGTGTCCACAATTAATTCAGGAAATACTTTGCATTTAACTAGTGTTCATGGCCTATACAGCACTTTTATACTCATTGCCTCATGTAATCCAAGCCTGCCCTGCTGACCAAAGAGCTGCTTTACATCATTGATCATGGAAATTTGCAAATGACATTTACCAGTGACCATCTACTATTAGATTAAAAGGCCTATCAAACTATAAGGCTGAAACATGTGAAACTGCATTTGAACCACATTTGACCTACAAAAAGGTGATTTCATATGATTCAACATAATCTGATTGCATTCATTCTCATGGCTCCTTCTGTGATAGTGAAGAACAGAACTAATTGCTTTTCCCAGTTACAGGATAGCCTGTCATCCCCAAAGCAAGTCTGTTTAACTTGGCACAAAGGAGTGAACAGTGTCATTGCTGGTTGCCCCAAGAGAGGCATAATAGTTGGAACAGCATTCTGCGTCACAATGAAGTAGAAGGCTAAGATAAGAAGGGTAGAGTCCGTGGGAGCAAAAACACAAGCTTCAAAACATATGGTATTTGTCTGAAACCGGAATGGAGTTCTGTGGCTCTAGAGATGCTGGAAGAAAGGGGCTCCGTTTCACCAAGCACCAACGACAAGCCAAATGCAATACTAAGCACATTGCTATTCATCCTCACAAACACCTTGAAGAGTATTCAGATGATGAAGCTGAGGCTCAGGGAGGTTACTTCATGAGCTCAAGGTTACATGGCACAGTTGAATGGCAGAGCATTAATGTGGACCTTAAGCCCATTCCGTTACTCAGCATTGCTTCCCAAATCCAGCCCATGTGAGAAGTTAAGTTTACAATACCTAACAGTCCTGTTTCCTACTCTAGATTTTGTCATAAGGCTTGAATTAGTGATAAAATCAACGAATGTATACAAAGGGCATCAAAGATGTTTCTAAGCACTCACTGAAGGCAGAGGCTGAAATGAGGCTCGAAGTAGGTGGGCAAAGAAATTCCTTAGCTCAGTTGCCTCCAGAGACAGAATTTAGTGGCAACCAGAAGCCCTGAGAAAAAGTTCCCCCAGTTATGACTAACCCAGGAGAAAAAAAAGCTTGTGCAGAGAGAGGACCCAAGTGAGAA